GCCCAGGGGCCCTGTCCCTGACCGCCATGCGATGTTGCAGAGAAGTGTCAACCAAGACAGCCCAACAAGGGGTGGGGGTGACGTCTCCCCACCTTCCGGCAGCGTCCCGGCTGGCATACTGGCTTTCCCTGCCGTAGGGGTTCATGGTGTACCTCGCTCAGCAGATAGCATTAAGGGCCCATGACTGGCCGCGAACCCTGACCTACCGTACCATAGTCAGTGGCATTAACCACTGTGCCATCCACCTGCTATATATGAACATCTTTGGAACTTTTACTGGCTTCTTTTTTTGGGTTATTAAAAAAAACACATAAGACAGCCGTCTGTGATGCAAGATTTAAATTGTGGCATAATTAAATTAATATATAATGTAGGGCTGCCATATGGATTTGTCAAAATAACAAGACAGGCAGCACACTTGTATCTCTATTGAAACAATGCTCTTAAAGGCTCTCGTTTTCATCTGAGACAGGGCTGTAGCCTAGTTTACCAATGAGTTTAAGCTTCTCTGTCTAGAAGAGCCTCAGTCGACCGACAGGTCTCTTGACTAACAACTTGACTATTTGGCAGAAGTTAGAATGAGCCGTCTCTCCTACCCTTGACTTTGTTTAAGACACATAGTTAACTTGTTTTCAGTGATAGTAATGATGCACGATTATGCTTCCTAATATTTGGAACAGGAGAGCCTATTTGTTTCTTACAGCACAAATGCTGCAATTTGACACAGTCAAATGTTCAGCAGTGGAGACTGCCATCAAAGGGTTAATTTGTATTAGTCTGACTTTGGGTGGAACTGTTGCTATGTGTACTTGTCTTTACTTTCAACCACCTGATCTGTGCCATAGCAAGTCTTTGTCCTGCACATGTAAAATGCCCAGTTAACCCAAACTAGATAAAGCAACATTACATTTCTTTTTTTGAGGCCAGGGCTGAAAGAAATGATATGACCTTAGTATTAGCTAAAATAGTCTTTGTACATTTTTGTAGTTTTATAATACTCCAGGACAGAAATCATTTTTCTGCTGGTTTGTTTGTTCCCTTTTCCTTACACAAGTCCTACTCTTCATCCTACAGAAAACAAGAGGAATATTTATGACCGATACGGCAAAGAGGGCCTTTCAGGAGGAGGAGGAGGAGGAGGTATGGAGGGACACAAAATATATACATCAGTAAATTCAGTAGTAAATACTGTTAACAGAGTTGGCAAAATATGATTAAGCTTTGATTAAAACTTTTTAGGGGCACGGTTCCTACAAAGTCAGGATTCTTAAACTAATTTATCAGTAATGTGTTCATGTTTATGCATTCAAATTAAATACAGACAGCTTAGTGCAGCATTGCTGTTTTTTTATGACTTGCACTAATAGCTTTGGTTGTTATCCCGCCTTTGATACACAGTTTCTGATCTTTGTTCTCACACAGGAGGCCATTATGATCACTTTGGTGGTGGCTTCACATTCCGTAATCCTGAGGACGTTTTCAGGGAATTCTTTGGTGGCAGAGATCCATTTGCAGATCTTTTTGGTAAGTCCATCTCATTCCTCTCTGTGCCCCTTAAAGACAGTGATGGGATGCAGGGATAGAGAGGGACTGAAGCATGCCCTAAGAGTGGTGGTGATACAATTGCTGTTAAACTGAATAATTTGAACTGGTCAGAAATATACACAAATAACCAGGTAATGCTCAAGAGAGAAAGTCCCCAGCTTTATCTGTTTATTGCACTGATATTTCCATTTCCTAATTAGTTTGCCTGCTATCTTGGAAATGTGTATTCTGTCTGTAAAGCCAGGGGCTAATCCCCCACAGCACTGTAGCATCTATCTCCAATACACTAAGCACCATTTACCTCAGGTGGTCATCGGACACTAAATATTAAACGTTGGAAAACACGTTGTCTCTGCTCAATTTGCTCCAGCTTTATGTATATAAATATATATTTAAATTATTCTTTATTCACATTATCCTTACCATCACTTAAAGTGCTATAGCCCCAGTGTCCAGTCCTCAGTGCCAAACAGCTTGTCTCGCTGAGTAGCAGCTGGTCCTGTGGATCTGTCACTCTCCACCTGAGAGCTGCCAGCAGAATGAGTGGTGGGTGGATGTGCTGTTGAGAGAAATAACATTCACACCATGATGGGGGCCTAGTTGTCTGCCAGGAACAGGGCACACTCTTAAATGAACATGTGGAAAAAAGTAGACGAGGACACATACCTTTGTAGACGTTCTGAAGAAATTGACAGTATCTGCCTGTAACAATTTGACTTAAATTGATTTATTTCTATGTTCGGTTCCTTTTTAGTTGTGTAGTTATGTCATGTTTTTTCCCATTACAGTGTACATGTAGAGACTAAAAACCCATTAACAGTGTCAGTTATCCTGTACTATTATGCCCAGTAAAATGTTTTCACTGACTTAAGGTCAGTCATTGTGCTTGATGAGTCCCTAGACTTCTGTCAGTGATTTGCTTTCTCTTTGAGAATGTCAACTTTTCTTCAGCCATCTCTGTGTCCATAGATCATGTAAACAAGAATGTAAGCAGCATTCAGATGTTTAAACAGCATTTCTCTTGGCTTTCATTGCTCTCTTTCTTCATGTGGTTCTATTGCCTTACTGACAACTTTGTAAGAGCTCAGCCGTCTCCTTGAATGTCTTCTAGGTAAATGAGCAGCAATGCATTTACATCAGTGCTCAGGGGATACTTTTATTTTAGGCTTTCTGTCAGAGAGAACAAGCACAGCATTCTTGCTGCTGTCACAGTACGTTCAAGGTGGAAGGAGGACTCTGCTTTAAGCAAATGGTGCTGGTGAGTCAGCCTCATCCTGCTGGGATGACCCAGATTGGTAGTGCACAATTAGTAGGGCCTCGGGGCTTTAGGATGAGAATTAGTGGTGGGCACTTTGACAGTTTAGGGTTTAGATTGTACAAGAAACAACAAAAAAAGAAGCTGTAGTGGATGCCATTTTGTAATCAGGAAATGCAATCTTTTTGTATCTGCAATAAGCATTAAAACTGCTAAAAAAAATATTTTATGTGGCCCATGGATCAAATGGCTGTTTGCTTAATGTGACAGTGGTCAGTGTGAGTGGCAAACCCACAGAGGATTATCACCTAGCTCTGCTCCCATCAGCTCTACAAAGCGTTAAAGCATCTTTCTGCTCACGACTGGCGACTGTGGTTCAGTGGGTAGAGCAGTCGTCTCCCAACCGGAGGGTCGGAGGTTCGAATCTCCGTGCCTGCAGTCCACATGTCAAAGTGTCCTTGGGCAAGACACTGAACCCCCATGTTGCCCCCAATGGTTAGAGCCATTGGTTGAGTTGGCGCCGCAGAAGGCTGCCTCGGTTCTGTACCGGAAACAAATTCGTTGTGTGTGTAACATACTTGGCTAAATAAAGGTGATTATCTTTATCCTATCCTTATCATAGTTTGGCTTTTACTGGCCACGACCTTAGTTTAATTCAGTCTGACTGCTCTTGTTTTTTGTTGTATCAGGCAGATGTTTTTGGCAAGAAGCTCTGATAAACCCATTGAACACTACCTGCTCAGCACCAAACAGCAATCGGACAAAGTTAGCAGCTAGCTGGTAACTGTAGTGGAGCATGTAGCGACTACAAACGAGATTACAGAGTCATCAAAAAGAAAAACAGTAATACTTACAGAACAGGGGTTCAGGCAAATACAGAAGTCTTGTGTAAACTTGGGACTGAAGAGTTCAAATCTCTTTGGGACAAGTGAGCAACACTGTGGTGGTGCTGAGTGCTCAAATAAGGCCCCATCGGGCTAAGGCTGGATCACTGGCATCATGTGCTGACAGGAGACTCCTCCTCCTTTTCCTCCTCCAACCGTGATTGTACTGGGCAGCCTCCGAGTGAATGTGTGAATATAATCAGGGCATTCTGTAAAGGTTTTTACAGTATGAACTGCAAGTGTCAGTGTTGATTGCTTACTCATTAAAAACTGCTGAATCACATTGTGTCTCCCTGCACAGCTGATGACCCCTTTGATGATTTCTTCGGAGGCAGTCGCGGTCGACATAGGGGTGGCAACCGGAATAGGATGGGCGGGCCCATGTTTGGTTTTGGGGGCTTCCCATCCTTTGGGCCTAGCTTCCCAGGGTTTGATTCAGGTGTGTACATCCCTGCAAATATCTTTGCATTTAGAAGATGCTAAATTCATTGAGAATGTATGATACTCTTGGATTTTAAGCCATTTTTGTTGCTGTACAGGATTTACCTCATTTGGAAACATGGGTGGAGGAAGTATCAGCTCCTTCTCTTCATCTTTTGGTGGTGGGGGAATGGGGAACTTCAGATCTGTCTCGACCTCCACCAAGTTCATCAATGGCAGAAAAGTTACTACAAAGCGGTACCTATATTTTGGACTCGCCAGCATTTTTAAGACCTCTGCATTTGCCTTAATTCTTGTTCTGTAAGCATTTGTCTTTTTTTTTTGTTGCAGCATTGTGGAAAATGGCCAAGAGAGAGTCGAAGTGGAGGAGGATGGTCAGTTAAAATCTCTAACAGTTAATGGTAAGGAGCAGCTCCTAAGACTGGAAAACAAGTAACTCTCTCCACAAGATTTAATATGTATGATTTTCACACCTGGAAAAGCTGTCCCAGTGACAACTGCTACCAGCGTTTGGTCTGTCCTCCTGCATCTCATTCCCAAAGAACAATTTTCTTAGGTTTGCTTAGCTGCAAGGAAGGCAAGAGATATGTTCACAGTATTTCTATATTTGTATTTATTCAATTTCTATGGGGGGCTGCCTTGTTAGGATTTGTGTTTGCGTATTCTAATGATACCTATACTATACCTATATATTAGTTTCATCTTTGGGGTGGATATTGTCTTTGTCGTAGCAGAATAACAAGATGCTGTACATTTTTGCTCTTTTTATTTGATGTTAAAAACTGAATGATAGAATCTCACCTAACCTTGGTAACTTGAACTTCACCTTGCTCACCTATAAGCCGTTTCCATATTCATGTGCATAACATTACGGCGCATTACATTCACCAAAGGGGAAAAAAAAAAGGAGGATCTTAATGCAGGAGCACTGTAGAACCTGCCTGAAAATGATCAGGTTTTAACAAATTCTTTAGTATCAAAGTTAATTCAGTGATAGTTCTCCACACATCCAGTAGTGCATAGCAAAAGTGACCTGTTGATAGCTAGTTCAGCACACTTAGCGTGCTAATAACACACGCTGCATCCATGGCAACATTATAAAGCCTTACAGTTTCTGGGTGAAGTTCATATAAGAAATGAATAATCACTATTGATGTGTTCTCATAATTACAAGATCAGGATCTTGTAATACGCTAGGTTAAGGTTGCTTTTTAAGAAGATAGTCCATTATAGGCTATATGATTTAATAGGCATTATGTTAGGCCATCTATATAATGAATATGAGCCTAAATATAACATTTTAATTTCCCCCATAGTATTTAGAAAAATATCACATTAGATGTTAAAAGTTCAACTATGTGAACAGATTGCTTTTATCAGAAACAGCCAAGTATAATGTTGCCACAGTCCTAGGTACGAGTTAATGTAGGCTGCAGCTTGGCTGCTGTTTTTAGCCTATTAGTTTACGTTTTGGAACACTATGTATGCGAAATTTACTATTATCAGTTCATTTTTGATATGTCCTATTGTAAGTACTAACAGAATTACATAAATATTGAAGAAATCTTAAAACCCCAGTGTTTTTCAAGCGGGTTCTGAAACTTTACAACTCCTGCGCAGTACATGCACACATAGTGAGCTACACTGTGGGCTTGTTTTAGCCTACATTTGTTTATGCTTTGGAATGCTAAGTATGGAGAATTACCTGTTACCAGTTCACTTTTGCTGTGCACTGTTGGCTGTACTGACACCTATCGCTGAATTACTTTGATACTAAAGATTGAATTAAAAACTGATTATTTTTAGGAGAGTTCTGCAATATCTCAATTATGAGAAAAGAGCTCAATTATTGAAAGTCATAATTCTGAGATAAGATTCTCCAATTTTTTTCTGGTGGTGAATATGATGTGCTTCTGTATAATATGAATGACAGATTAATACATTGTGTTAATGTGCAATTTTCATACTTACATTTGTTTGCATTTTGAGACCGTTTGGCTTATTTCTGCATGATGGCTGATTCCAGGAGGCTGCTTTGCAGTTTCACTGTAACTGTGTCAGCAAACAATGGATTTAGACCACACACCACCTTACACTGTTGCTTGACAAATAGGGGACCCTTCATCCTTTGTACAAAGAGAAAGAAAACCAAAATAAAGAGTTCACATTTGGTCAATAAACTTGAGTTTGACATTGTGGAAACGCAGTTACCTGTTGTCTCATTTAGCTTGAATGGCTTTTTTTTTTAATTTCCTAACTCTTCCTGGAAGTTTGAAGTGTCTGCTTTTGCCTGATCACATTTTAACCCACTTCACACAATTGCAATAAAGAAAACCACAGTGCCTGCTTCTTTTGTACACTCACCCATCATAAAGCTCAACGTGGGCGTTATTTTAACTTACTAACACGTCCCCGTTTCCATGCAGCTGACTCCGATTAGGGCTTGTGTTCCCTGGTGATACAGGACACTGCTAGCGTGCTGTGTGCTCTCGCTCATAAGAGATCATGTGGAAAACTCGTTTTCAGCAAAGATGTACTGTCCTCACACCCCGATTTTGTTCTGTGTGGGGTACTTATGGCCCAGGTGAGAATGAAGTGCCCACTTACCAGGATTCATTTGCCCCTCTTCATGTTTCATCTGTGTTCTCTCCTCTCCAATCTGGACATTTTTATGGGCCTGAACTTGCTCTTGAATATAACCTGTTGAGAGGATTCAAAATGATAATATTCAGGTTGTTATCCAAGAAAGTTTGTCTTTAAAAGTTAGACACGCTGGGCTCCAAGTTAGACTGGGTAGGGTGAACTATTGCAGTTGGCTCAGAGGTCAGTGTTTACAGAGAGGAGTGTGTATTTCTGGAGGAATGTGCTTGAGGCTCATATATTTACACAAGCTCCACTGCATATTTTTGTGAGAAGTCAGGAGTGGGAAACTTTAGACAAAGTAAAGACAGGGTGAGCTGGGCCAAGCCAAAATGTTAAGGTATGAACAGAGACTGTATGACAGTTATGTATGGAAGAAGATCTGAGTTCTGACTTTTCCCCAGAATTCTGATAAAAAAAAAAAAGTCATATTTGTCAGGATTTTTTTTTTTTTTACACTGGCCCTAATCCTCTTCCATAGTTATGGAATTTAATGCCTCATGACTAAATGCTGCCTCTGTATTTTGGTGGAGTTGGTCTAGCAAGGAGGGCACAGCTTCAAGTATTAGGTTTGTGCTTGCTTTGTCCTTACAGTACTGACTGAAGCAGGGACACTGCAGCCCTGCACCACTATCCTCTGTGCCTCTATCAGTAGTTATACAGTGCTTGGGAAAGTATTCACCCTTCTCCTGTTTTGTTGCAATACAACCTGGAATTAAACAGATTTATATTTGGATTTTATGTAGTGACTAACAAAATAGTCCAAGTTCTTCAAATAGAATGGAAATGAGCAATAATAAAAATGGGAAAGTTGTGAGTGTATAAGTGTTCACCTCCCTTTGCTATGAAACCCCTAAATAAGACCTGATCCTACCAATTAACTTCAGAAATTATATTCATTGATTAAGCTACGCCTGTGTGCAACCTAAGTGCTACATGGTCTGTCACATCATTTCTGTATAATTACACCTGCTCCGAAAGGCTCCTGAATCTGCTACACCACTGAGCAACATGAACGCCAAGCTGCTCTCCAGCCAGGTCAGAGACACAGTCATGGAGAAGCATAGATCAGGACTGAGTTATAAAAAAATATGCCAAACTTTCAACATCCCACAGAGCACCATTAAACCCATTATTATAAAATGGAAAGAACGAGGCACCTCTACAAACCTAACAAGAGAAGGCTGCCCTCCAAAACTCACAGAGCAGGCAAGGAGGACATTAATGGGAGATACAACAAAGGCACCAAACACAACACTGAAGGCGATTCAAAGGTCCACAGCTGTGATGGGAGCATCAGTTCATAGGACCACTTTGAGCTGTACACTCCACAGAGGGGGGCCTAATGGAGGACTGGCCAGAAAAAAAGCAATTAAAGAGGAACATTTTGCACCATCAGGCATGTTGTGTAAATCACATGATTCCAGGTTGTAATGCAACAAAACAGAAAAAATACTTTCGCAGGGTACTGTATTTGTGTGCATGAGAAGATTAGGGTAGAGAAGAGATGATCACATACATAAGGACTGTTACATGAACAAAGTAGGCAGCAATGTCTTATAAATTATATGTCCATGTACACAAAATCTGTCAGCATTATTTTATATTTATATATTTTGATATGTATTTAACTTCCTAAAATCTGTAAAAATCATAATTCAGTTATTACACAAACAATAATTAGTACATGTGACTATACAGTGTGTACTGTAGGTGTGTGAGTGGCAGGAATTATACTTATGGTGCAATGGCGCCCTCTCCTGGACCAACAGCGTTTAACACCACGACAGAACGGATTTAATATTACTTCTAAATTTAGTCAAACTGGCACCATTAAAAGTATGGCGAATGAGTTATTAGCAGTTACGATTTAGAATGGATCCACTGATGTGCAGAAAACCCATCACTGTATTACTTTGATATTAAAGAAAACTTAAAAACCTGATTAGTCTAAGACAAAATCTGGAGAAATAAGGAGCGTCTTTTTCTGTGATTTACCAATTTGGTCAGGGACGTTTATTGGCGATGGGCGTCATAAGTAATCCTCCAAATGTTTACATCACACGGAATCTAAAAGTGCTGTACCACGTTTGTGTTCAGATCTGAGTTATGACTCAGAGGAGTTTGATATTTGATGCTGATTGCGACATCCGGGCCTTAACGGTTTTAAAGTAAGGCTTAAGGCTTCAGTCCATCCTACAGCAAAAGCCAGGCGCCCACATGTACATAGACAGGTTTTATACTTTGTGTTCACATTGTACATAAATAATCTCGCCCTATAATGCTCTTTCAATAAGTGGTGAGGCTAATGTGATCTTACAGTACAAAGTACGAGTGCACTTAGCGCGCTGCTGCATTATGCAATGGCACAAACGCGCAGGTCTGGATCTCACATAACACAGTATGCTGCAGGTAG